TCTTTCTGCTCTTCAGCACAGCTGAGGGACAGTCTCAACCTTATCTGCAAGGTGTCTTGCAAAGCAAGAACTGCAAACTCCAACGCGTTCTCGGAAGCGCGGGGCAGCCCGTCCCACGTACGAGCCTGCTGCAGATGGTGACCAGGGTAGTGTGCGACAGCCGCACGGACTGCGGAGAGGCAGGAAGTGGTGTGGCCCGTGCCTCCGGCTGCTCTCAAAACCACTCCTTCAGAGGGCTGTAATATAGCCAAAACATGTAGATGGGAGACTGAACAAAGGAAAACTCAGCAATGGAGAACTGGGAAGGACAGCCAGCCAGAGGTGGAGCCGCAGTGAAATGAAGCCTTGACAGACTAGAGCGAAAGCACTGCGGGCACTGAGGGTTGCTGTAAGGGCAAGGACTAATTTGTCCTCAAGAGAAAAAAGGAAGAAAATGTAACTAGTTTATGTTAACAAAAACATCCAGAAGAAACGCATTGTACACAGGAGGTGCACATTTGATTTACAGAAGATAAACTTAACCAAGTGTGGCCAGATCCAACAGCTAGTCACTACTCACTTCGGAAAACCTTTACGGACATACATAATCTGTACTAACTGCACAGGGAGTGGGGTGAGAAACCAAAAGAAGGTATAATGAACACCCTAACTGAAATGAAAAACCTAAAGCAATAACAAGCATTCTTAACATTTTGAAAGGTTATTGCAAACAATGCAAATAACTGTAAGAACTTTGTACAAAGAAAGTACAAGCTAGCCAAACAAAATATGTTAAATGGCATTTTAAGACTCAATGAAATGCATGGATTGATTTGCAACCATTCCTTCAACTGTCCAAAATTTAAACCAAATACACATAAAAATGCTCCCTATTTCTTCTTATTCCCCTAACAGCTTACATCTCCTAGAGTCTGGGAAATGGGTAGAGAAAATAAATTCCACAATTAGTGTTGAATTCGCAAGTCATAAGCACTGCCTGCCTTGTTAAGTAGCAAATCTAAAATTAAGTCACCTTTCTGCTTCATTCTGCGAAGGACTGCCATGCAAAAAACTTGTTCAAGCTCTGAAGACAAGAACATGCTCCCCATGCCCAGCAATATTCCTTGCTGTCAATCCACATAGCAGTACTTAATGGATCACCACCAGCACAAGACTTTGTCTGGCAACAGGAACCTTGAGATGAGTTGAACTACACTGATGATGAGCATCTGAATGGCAGCTGCTCCTCTCCTCTCAACCCAATCCTCCAAACCCAAAACTCAAGGCGAGCACCCTGCCATAATAATTCTCTGACCAGTTTGGCCCAGCGATGCCTACTGCAGAAATACAACTCGCATGAAATTAATTTTATGGCTTCCTTACTAACTCACAAAAGGGTGGCTTTGAAAGCAGGAGAATCTCTGAAACAATTTCATATCTTTTCTACAGAAGACTGATTATTGTCCAAGTCACTAGGTGAGTTCAGATGTTTTTGTGAAAAACAGCAAAGCTCTCAATATCAAGTAATAATAAAAGGGCACTTCATATTCTTCCAAGTGCTAACGTGTTTTGCATTTGAGGTAATTCATTAGATACTTATTCACTGTACTGTATCAAGTATTAAGAACAACAGCTGTATAATGACAAATAATTTACTTCAACTTCCACACTGTAAGAGCGAAAACCAACAGGAAAGTGAGAAGATGCATTCTAAAGCACCACTAGCCTCTTGGTGTGAACTACCATCAAGACAAGAAAAGGCTGAGGACACCTGGTTTTAATCTCATCCTCATAAAGTGGCAAGTTTTAATTTTTTAGTTTGAAGGTTTTTTTGTACGCTAAAAGTACTCCATCGTATCTTCCAATAGCAGAAAAGCAGTATGAGCAGCAAGCCTGTGCCAAAAAAGGTCACAACCTATCGGCACACACCTGCAGACCGGAGCACTTCTACATGGTGGGAACGATCTGGCAGCCACTGGAATGACAGCACACCAACTCATCGTTTCTGAGTTTCCTTCTTCTTTGAAAAAGGTGAAATATATTTCCCCTTTTGACAAGGGAACTCTTGCAGAGCTTTCAACACTGTCCTGATACACAACAATGACCCACTGGCAATGCCTACCTCCTATCACCACTCTGGACAAAGTCACTTGACCAGGATGGCAAGGTGCTCAGATACATACCTGGCCTCTAGCATGGTAGTACTACATGCTACATGTAGGTATTAAAATATAGAGTGTTTGAAGTTATTTATATCAATGAAAGTACTGGCATCCTCCCTCTGGATGCTGTATTAACCTGCTGTATGTAACGATATGTTTAGAGCTGCCAGCACTTCCCACTATGAGAGCCTGTGTTGGGCTATTTAAAACTTTGACACATTTCAACCAGCAAAGGCAAAACTTTCCTTATGAATTGTCTGCTTTGGACTGATTCCCCTCTCCCCAGGAAATTTCAGCCAAAATGGTTCCAAAAATGAGGCTAAGAAAAAGCTTTCATATATGCGGATTATTACTTTTTCTAAAAAAAAGAAAAAAAGTTTCTCTTTCAAAATCTTTGAAGAGAGCCTTCATACGGCAGAAAGTGTTATGTCTTGGTTATGTTGTCACGATATAAAAATCTGCTTGAATTTGGCCAAGCTAAAAGCTTGAGGGGGAGAAGAAGATAAAAATTATCAGTTTGTTCACACTTAAGACTTTTGTTAGTTACTAAAATTTCAGATTACAGCCTCGCTGAGAACACTTCATCCTCCTGCAGCTCCTTTGAACACAGGGGTCTGCCTGCACCATCCCACCCAGGGTGAAACCCGCCTTTCGTGCAGAGCTCTGCCATGATTTTAAATTACAAGAGAGTAGATTCAGGCTAGATATAAGGAAGAAATGTTTTTATGGAAGGTGGTGCAACACTGGAACAGGTTGCCCAGAGAGCTGGCAGATGCCCCATCCCTGGAAGCATTCAAGGTCAGGCTGGACAGGTCTCTGAGCAGCCTGATCTGGTTGAAGGGGCGTTAGGCTAGATGGCCTTTAGAGGTCTCTTCCAACCCAAACCATCCTGTGATTTTATGTGCCACCTCCACAAACTCACAAACCAGGAGCAGGGCTTGCTGGGGATTGCTCCGCACCACAACTCGCCACCGGGTTTGAGCATTCCTCCTGGCAGCTGGATGGAAAAGATACCTGGTTCTGGCTAAGAACCAGAGCCGGGAGTGGACGCAGTGAAAATGCAGGGAGATTGGGAACCATAAGGGAGGGAAAACCTCTGGAAATCAGGAGGGCACGGAGAGGCAGGCTGGGAGTGCAGTGCTGAGCCACGAAGAGGGACTGGAATTAGGAAGCAGCAGTGGGAATCAAAAGTAAGTAGAAAGAGGGTCTAAATGGTGGAGAGAAGGTACATGGGCAAGGGGCTGGGAAGTGCCAAGTTGCAGGGGCTATGGCAGGAGAGGTAAAAAAAAAAATAGACATGCTTTTGCTGGGGAATGGGTGGAAAACAATTACAGCGTTCATCTCATCACAGCTGGAACTGAACCCCCAATTCCCAATTCTGCCATTCCTTTGCCATCAGCAAATATCACGGGCTTGCTGACAAACTCCTTCCCATCAAGAGCAAGCTCTCAGAAAATGATCATTTACCATTATTTTGTAACTTTAATTGCTAAAATGGCAGGGATCCGCATATATCACCCATGTGGGTGGTTCAGTGCTGCAAATTATTTTTGAAGTCTGCTTTGGAAAAAAAGAAGGCATTGGAATAAAAACAGGTCCTTTTTACAGAAAACCCAAGGTTTCAAAGTTAAGCATGTACACAAGAAATACTGTAACTAATGCAGGATTAATTCAGCTGCCACTTATGTAGATACTGTAGCACAGTCTTCCAGTCCTTCTCTTACCAAAGGCTCCATTCCTTACTCAGTGCATGCTCTGGATTTGTCCAGAGATGGATCTAAGCAGCAACAACACAAGACCCCTGCTCATTCAGCGCAGCATTTGGAGGATGTGAAGTGACTGAGACCAGGAGACAAAAAGGAGACTCTCACAGCAACAAATGCTGCCTTGGAGAACCAGGTCATTTCAACCTTTTTATTTTTTTTTATCTTGTAAGTCTGGCTTGCATTTTTTGGAAGTCCAATTTCTTCACACAGGGAAACACCATCAGCAGCAACTGAGGCCAATGAAAGCTATCCACTGTATGTATTAATCATCAAGTATCTCGGAAAATTAAAGCTCCACGCAGGCAAGTTTGTCAATCCAAAATTTTAAAGTATTTCTGATCCTCTCTGACTCTCTTCTATTTCAGAAAGAGGAGAAATGCCAGCCACTTCCCCAACAGACTAGCACGCTGCCTTTGTGAAGCACCCAAATGTTGTAGTCACAAACATCACAGGAAACTCCATGAGGAACACAAGTAACTCCATCTTCAGCAAGGATCGATTTGCGCAGTAAACACA